CAGCAGCCATCTTAATCCCTACTGACAGGAACTCTCCCCCTCTCTCTGCCATTCCCAACCTGCCTGAGGACTGTGTGTTATGTCTGTGTTTATTGTACATAGTGAACGGTTGTGACTATATTCAACTTACATTGTAAGTAGTTTATCGTAGTCCTTCTGATTGTCTTATGACAACCTGGTTTTGTTGGCTTTGCCATTTTTGTTGCTATGAAGCAATTTCCTTTGTCGTAGCTATATTGTGTCAGCTACTAGCAGTGAGTAGGAGTGAGAAGCCCTTTTTTTTTTGTTTGCACCGTTTTCTCCTGTTTTTGGACTTACAAGCCTAGTTTTAGAGCTTTGTCTTTTCTTTACCTTTTGGGTTTAGGAAAGATTTAGATTTTCTTAGTGTTTTGGTTGTTGTTTTGGGCACTGCTCATCTCCGATGTATAATAAAAACTGCTAAATTGTGTTTTGGCCTTGTTTGGGAATGGGAAGAGTGGGAGGCCACATATTCATGTTACATCCAGGACACCCCTAGACCTTGGGACGTAACATAATCCATTCTCTAATCCTATCTGTGGATAATTAACTACCCAGCCCTGCACACTGCCCTTCTGGTTCCATCGTCCTTCTCCTGCAGCTCCTCCTGCAGCTCCTCCTGTTCCTCCTCCTGTTCCTTTTCCTTCAACTGTTCTTTATAATATATATATATAATATAGCATATATGCCTATATATAAATAATCTCAGGTTATAATAAATGCATTACTTATCAGTGCCTGTGCTGAGTCCAAGGGCGTCACTTTGTGTTGAAAGGTGGGCACAGGGGCTTAGATTAGGGGTGTGAAGAGACACTTAGCTCGCGAAACATCACGGTATGTGCTATTATTTTTACAAGAATGAAACGAAAAGATCCCTAAACGGTGTTAAAGATAAAGATGTCTTCAGTGCTGAGATATATGATCGGGGGTCTGGGGGGACCTCCTCCAGGAAATATTGATCTTTAAACCCTTCTTTTCCTGCATTCTGGTGAATGTTTCTGCACCAATTTATGGTGGAATTGTTTTTATTTGGCCTATGTAAAAGGAAACGCGACATTTCAAAATATATAATTATAACAGAATTTAAGTCAGTGCAGCTCTCAGTCATTCTTATCACCAAAGCAAATTCCTTGTATGTGTAAAACACTTGATAATAAAGCTCCTTCTGGTTCTGATTCTGTGCTGCTTTCAGATCTGTTTCTCCTGTAGATCAACTTTTCTCATGTAATATCATCCCTGCTGAGGCAACACATATGCAGGCATGATTTAGTCTTCCCTCTATTGTCATGTTCACAGGGAGAGAACGGAAAACGGAAGAGGTTGGTTAATTAGACACATTTAGCAGCCTCTTGAGCCGTTTTTTTCTTCTAAATTATTATTTTTTTCAGCACCACACATTTCTTTTTCCTCTTTCTTTCCTTTCAACATATTTACCTGCTCTGTTGTGCTTGTCACCAGTGTTGGGGTAGTTTCTCAAAAAATTTAATGGATTAGTTACTTTTTTAAACGTAATGCCTTACTTTACAGGATTACTCACTGCAGAAAATAACTAGTTACACTATTACTTACATTACTTTTGGGTTATTGCATAACATCACCTGCGATGCACAATAACTGCCAAATAACAAGTTACACCTCATATATATATTCTTTTATACTCTTTAATATTACAAAGCTGCCCAACATTTGTCAAGAGAAGAACAAGGCTATGGTACAGTACTATAATGCTTAAAACTTTCATTGGAAACATTTTTTTATACACATTAACAACACCTCCACCAATGTGTCTGAGGAAGACACTTAATCCATAGTTGCTCCAGAGGAAACCTCAGCATCTAACTTAAGATGAAAATACTATTGCAAAACAGAAGTGAATTAGCTACATGGACATAAATACCAGTTCATCTGTATCTGTATATTTTCTATTTCTATTTCTAAAAACATTCAAACATTTAGAAATTTATGTCCTGGAGCAATGCTAGCACAGCTGTGCAATTATATAGCGTTTTATTAAATCCAAATCTAGTATCAGCTCTGCTCATTACTCCTCTTATCAATATGTTACCATTTACCATTTAGCTTTCAACATTAAAGTTCTCGATAACCGTCTTCACCAAACCTTGCTCCATAGTGTATAAAATGATGACTAAATATGTGTCTGACACCTTGAAATAACAGGTGTAGACTTTTATGCTTGTCTGAGGCCAAAATGAAGAGAAAAATCATGTTTTTTAAAAATCTAATTAAAATATTAAAGTAACTAAAGAAAACTACCAGCACACACACCTGTCTATCTTTTGGTACCTGACAGTTAATCCAATACTCTGCGCTATGGAAACATTTTGTTAGGTACTAAAATAAGTCTTAAAACTCCTGGAGAAGAGAGGCAGGAAAATCTAAATTGTTGGCAAGCATGTGATGCATGTTTGAACATCAAATTTGTTAACATGGACGCTTAAAGGAAGCTTCCTCCTCCTGTGTCTCCCAAGCGTAAAACCGCAAGAGTCATTTTGTATCTGCTGTCTGAATCAGTGATGGCTGAACATGTTTGCTTTTAACTTGTCAGTCAGTGTGTGATAATATTGCCTGTTGCAGTATACACACTTGTGGTCTTGAGAACATTAGTTTGAGTTTACAGGCAGTCGGCCAGTCTGTGTTTATTTTGCCTTGTGTTTCTTTTATATATTTTCTTAATGCCTGTCTTATTTTAGTCACAAGGAAATTCCTTGTTGTTCCACCGGGTGGACATAACTGACGGTAATTATACTATAAATATTATTACAATATATTTGTACATGGGCCAGTTGTCAGAGGAGAAACAGGCAGCAGTGTGCTGATGAGTGCAGCTGATAAGTCATAACCTTTAAACTAACTTCAACTTAGTGCAGACAAGGGCTGAACAATTTATTGAAGTATCACAATATGGTCATGTGCAATATTCAAATTGCACAAGCTGCAATAATAAAAAAAAATAGAAAGATTAAAATGAAGCATTGTGGTTCTACAAAGATGCCAGTGCCTGGAAATCATATTCTCCAGACGTGAGGGAACTTGCTTGTTTGGTACAGACCCATATCCATATTTACCCATATTTGGTACAGACTCATAATGTCAAAATAATCATAATAATCTCTGATATTTTCATAGATAAATTATCATTCAGCCCCAGTGCAGACCGTGCTGGGTGGAGATTATAAAACTAACTTCAGCCTGGAGTTTGACTCCTTGAGCTCCTCTGCTTGTGCCGTGAGCTTTTCCTCACAAATCCCTGATGATGACTGATCCAGTTACCTGTTTGATCAGACAGATCCTGACATGTCAAGTCTCGTGGTCAGTTTAGTTACTAGATGACCGTACAGCTGCTATTGCGCCACTGAATGTAGTTTCAGGTGAGAAAGTAACCATTAAACGACTGACTATTACATTTTGGTTATCTGAACACCAGGAACTTTAAACTCCTCTCTAGCTCTAACTTGTGTTTCAGTCCTGTGACTCCAAATTGTGGCATTTTATTCATTCCATCGTTCCTCTTCAAACACCCACTTCTGTAAGACTCATTCTCCGTGAACACACGTCATTTTTACAAATATCCCAGTCAACACACCATTTACACTTACGCCGCAGCTTAAACTCATGATATACACATTCTCACTTCCTGTAATACATACATCCACTAGTTCCCCGCTTCCCCTCTAAGAGTTTGTATCAATGCTGTAGTATAGCCACGCTTGGTTATTTTTGGGGTGTTCTGCACTCTGCTTAAAAATAAAAAAGTCAGGATAAGCGGAGAAAACAGAAAAAACACCAAAAACTTTCATGGCTTCTGAAAGGAAACTTCCTTCTTTGGTGTGTTCCCACAATTATAACTTTCTGTCCGCTGTCTATGAGGGATGACTGAACATGTTTGCTTTGTACTTGTCGGTCATGATACTGCCTGATACTACACAGTTGCGGTCACATTAGTTTGAGTTTACGTTCCCTCAGGCAGTAGACTATGTCTGTGTATTTTGCCTTGTTTGTTTTATATGTTTTCATAATGCCTGTCTGTCTTAGGTAAGACAATTCTAGCACAGATGGTGCTTGGTAAAATGTGTCTGTCTAGAGATTATAAAACTAACTTCCGCCTGGTGTTTGACTTCTCGATCTCCTCGGCTTGTGCTGTGACCTTGTCGTTATAATTCCCTTCCTTAATATGTCTGACAAAGATATTTTTCTTTACGTTTCCCAACATGCTGCTGAGTGAAGTCAGCATATGGTTTTGGAGGCAGATCAAGTCATTTTCACCTGTTGGATTAGACAGATCCCGGCACGTCACATCCTGTGAAAGTAACCAGTAACATTTTTGAATATGTGGTCATTGCATCAAAATGATTCCTTCTGATTTCAGCAACGTCCATAGTCAAAATGGAGAGAACAGTGTTGTCTCTGCGTGCCCTTTGGTTATTTACTGGTGGCGTTGATGTTTCCATAGAATTTTGAAAAACTGGGATTTACCCCAAACTGCACCAGAGCAGCACCTGCAGTAACATTACTTCTATTTTGAGCCAGAAGAACTTCCGAACATTATTCCCTATAGTGATAAATTATTTCCCAGAGGGCATTAATAAAAGTAATTATCTGTGTTGCTGCTGTATGTAATAATGATGGAAATAGATCAACACATTAAAATATTGTTAACCATCACGATAACAAAAAAGTATGTATTTTGTTTTGTATCACATACAGATAAAATATTTATATTAGTATTAAATTTGACACGGAACAGGTGGAGCAGTGTCTCCAGTTAACTGTAACAGGTAACACCTTTGTTTTTGTTCCCGTATCAGTTGCTTAAAATTACTAGAATGTTTTTTTTTAACATTGTTTAACGAACTGATTGACATTTACTCAAGGCTGTGGCAATAGCTAAAACAATTCATAACAAAAATTAGACCGTGTCCTGTTATCAGGGGATGACACGTAAGTTAAGGAACCAAAGCACCCAGAAAAGATATATAAGGACTGAGTTCCCTTTTCCAAGACATCCTGCTACCTGCTACTTCATCTGATCATCACTACAAGGTAAGATTTTAATTCATGACTTTCACCACAGAACCAGCTTTACAGAAAAGACTATACATTAACAGCCAGCTAACTAACTATATAAAAGAGATTATATTTAATGTTTGACTCACTTTTCAGTGATAAATGTAGAAATAAGACTTTTTTATTTTTATATTACAATAGTGTTAACTCCTGGCATCAGTGAATTAATTTGTCTAATGTCTTTACACAGATGGCATCAGTTCTTCATTTCATTGGGCTCCTCTGTTTGACCAGTGGGCTGTGGATTGGAGCAAATGTAAGTAGAGTTTTTACATTTGTTTAATTATTACAGCTATATTAAACCTATAGGGTGTTTTAATGAAACCAACGCAAAATCCTAATTTAGTCTATTAAATTGTCATTTTATTGAAGCGTATGTGATCAAATTGCACCGTTCCAACAAGCATGTGTGGTGATAATATTTAGGGAGGCGAATGAGCCATACTACCAGCCAATCAGTGTGTATTAGGAAAATGATTTAAGAAAATGTCACCAATGTGCTTCGTAGACATTAAGGCTGTCATTCCTTCAAAAAGTCAAGTTTGAGCGAATTCAAGCTAATTAAATTAGTTTGAACTGATTCAATCACAACCCCATATGTTGTAATCCTGCACCTCCCCAGCGATGTCCATCTGTCTGCGTGGCTCCAGTTCTTTCATCGTTCGTTTCAACGTCCTCCTGAAACAAAACCAATGGGCCACATATCCTTGCATACAGATCTTGCCTTCTTTAGGTGATGGTCTTTTTATGAGCTTCTAGTATCTGAGGAGGAAATGAAAAGCAGGCAGTCAGATGAGACTGATGTTGCTCCACTCATTTCTGCTGCCTCACATAAGTTTCAGCGAGCAGGCAAGTCCTCAGATTTGTGTTGGTTGTAGAGTAAAGCAGCTGCTTTTTACAGTCGGCTTACAGGCTTATTTTTGTTGGTAATTTTAGTGTAAATCCCAAAGAGCTTCCACTATCTGCTTCTCAGGTGCTTCAGTGTCATGATTATTTGATCAGCACAGCTTTGCTGGTTAGTGTCAATGCAAACTTCCTCAAACAGTCTGTTTCTTACACTTTGAATAGTTAATCTTTTTTCGGACGTTCGAAAGGTCACAAAAATAGACAAATACCCCCATTTTAATAAAATACCATCTTACCAAAAATAGCAAAAGCTTCCATTGTGTTCACAGAGCATCTTCACACAGCTAAGGCTACAAAAAGGAAAACTCATTCTAATTCTAACTCGTTCATTTCTAATGCTGTGTTACATCTACAGGGGCAAAGTGGACAAGGTTGGTGCTTTTTATATTTATGGAGGTGAAATTAAATTAATTTTGAAATGGAGTAATTGTAGAAGTAATTTTTCAAGCAAAATGGAAAACACTGCCTAATATTAGCTTGTCAAATGTGAGGATAAGATGACAATTGTTTTATAGGTAACTGCCCTGCGACCTGCCCTCCTGGTTGGACTCAGTTTGGCAGTCGCTGTTTCCTGTTCCAGTTCAGTGATGTGGACTGGGCTACTGCAGAGGTACTTTATGAAACAATAACATCTAAAACTGCCACCCTGTATTTGTACAATAATCAAGCAGTCCAAGAAACTCTCATTTGTTGATATAAATAATAATAATAATAATAATAATAATAATAATAATAATCATTTAAAAGGCAACTGTCTGTGAGTCTCAAATATGTTGATACTAAAAGTTAAGTTGTGTCTTGTAATTTGTAATTTTGTAATATTCACACAGATGGACTTCATGTGAAAATATTTTTTCTTAAAGACATTTCAAATACAAAGGATTCTTTCGTTGTTGGATTCTATTGTTAGTTAAATATTATGTTTATTTAGTTATGTTGAATTTAAACAAACTGTGTCTCTTTGGATTGCACTTTCTCTTCCTCATCAGCGTTTCTGCACTTCTATTGGTGGGAATCTGGCCTCCATTCAAACCCCAGAGGAGTACGCCTTCATCAGAGATCTGATTTTCAGATCGACTAACACACATAAAGGAACTTGGGTCGGAGGCTACGATGCAGTGAAGGTGAGTGTTTCATCAATAAACGTGATCTCATATTCTGTTTGGTAGTTTTAAAAAAGGCTGCCAGGTGTGATGTGGCCAACTATCGCATGGTCCTCCTGTTTCATAAGCTTAATTATCAGGTAATCTCATTGCGATGTCTTTTGCACGAGAGATACAGCAGAAGAAATAACTTCAAAGAGAAGACACAAGCATATATATACAGTGTATAACCAGTTGTTTTGGAATGGTGACAGATTTCTCTGCAGTGGGGATGTCTGCACTGTCTGTATAGCAAGAAAAATAATAAATTGACCCTTACAACTTTTTCTTTCAGGAGGGTGTGTGGCTGTGGAGTGATGGTTCCAAGTGGGACTTCAAAAGCTGGGCTCCAGGGGAACCCAACAACGTTGGCGGAAATGAAAACTGCATGTACATTAACGCGGGAGGTAAAAACTGATCTGCTTTGGGATTTTTGTTGTTTTATCTAATTTATACCTTGCATTCTGTTCTTTTTGATTGTTTCCTTTCTTTGTACAAGCTTTCATTTACAAGGCAAGAGAGTGCTATATCAGGAGAATTTTTACTTACTTAACGCAGCAGTCGGTAACAATTGAACATATAATGCAAAACCTTTGGCCTCTCTGTCTGCTGCTCGTATGACGCTAAGCCCCTCCCAAAAGAAAAAGTGATCCTGATCCCGCATAGGACTAGAGTCACGGCAAGTCTTGACATGACCTCGGTCCCTCTAGACGTGACTTGTCTTCTCAGAGACGCCCTCGGACGTTTAGTGGCCCAGAGCAAAGTGTTCCAAGCTTCATAGACAGCTGCGACAAAGTCTAACAGCAGGATGAGAGGCTGGGACATTAGTTATCCCCCAGAGTCTGTCATATTGCCTCTTTGCCACTGGTCTATACGAGCGCCATGGCATCAAACACAATGAGCCCGAAACTCTGTGTAGAGCCGGGATGTGTTCTCACACATTTGTACTGCATGCTGTTGTTGGCAAAGGAGCGATGGGCAGTTCCTTAATTTCCGGTGGTTGTTTCTCAGCCATTCTGTTTGCAAAACATCTGAAGTCTGTGAGAAATGCATTATAAGTTGCTGATTTTTTAGGATTTCACTGTAATTAACTTGTGAGAAATGAGCATTGGTCACAGGGTTTTTATTCCTTAACAAAGGGTTGTCTGATTTACAATAAACGTCTGCTGGCATGTAGGTGAGAGTTTTAACATAGACCAATCAAGAGACAGAGAAACATCTGATGCCACATACATTTGCATTTCCTTTCTTAGCTCAGAAAGAGTTTTTGAGTGTATGCTAAAACTCTGCCATTAGTTTTCCTTCATCTACCATTTGTTGGCTGTTGTTTGCTTTGTACTTGTTTTGTACTTAAGGAGAGGAAACGTTGAGTTTGGGAGAGTAACAGTGGGTTCTCTCCGTGGCCACGTTACATAAAGAAATGATTCAACACATCTATTTGACTCCGTATTCTTTGGGAAGGAATTATTTTGCCTGACGAGCCAAGCGCTGAAGATAGTGAGCTGACAGCATGAGCAGACGGTTGACACTGTGTAAGGCTACGTTCAGACTGCAGGCCAAAGTGACCCAAATATGATTTTTGCTCTTATGTGACATGAAAGTGGCCCAAATCTGGAAAAGATCAGATTCCATGTGACTTGGCCTGTTCACACTGTCATAAAAAGATCAGATCTGAGTCACATATGGGCAAAAAAAATCGGATTTGAGTCACTTTGGCCTGCAGTCTGAGTGTAGACTCCTCCTGGCTCTGATTGGTGGTTTTGTTCAGGAAGAGTTGGATTGTTGGAAATAGCAGTAGAAGGAACCTGATGGTTTTTATTAATTTATGTATTTTTTTGACAGATTATCTGTCTCATGTACTCCTGTCAGAATATAGTGACAGTTTTAGCAAATATGACAGTGTCATTAGAAAAATCCCTACTGCAGCTTTAATTGACAAAAGGAAAACAATGTTGTTGTGAAAACTTTGTATCAGAGGCCTCTAATGTGCTGTTATTGTTATATCTGTCTACAGGAAGAGATTATGTCAACGACGTAATCTGTACCAACCTGAATTCTGTTCTTTGTGCCAAACGCCTGTAAAGATCTTCATCATGTGGCGACACATCTGGCATCTGGCATGAGGATGTCGCTCCCCCGCTGATGATGGTTTTTCCACCAGGATCTCAAGCCTCGATGACATCACTGCTGGATAACCAATTAACAGTTCTGATTTAAATTTCAGTTGATTCAATAAACACATATATCCTGTTCAGCAACCTGTCTCACCTCTTTGTAACACCGTCTCATGCACCAAAGCTCAATATTTCTATCTATCTATCAATCCGTTTTACTTCAGATTGTGGTTCCATATCAGAGATTTCACATTCAAAGAGTAAAACAACTACAGCACATCAGAAACACACAAATCAGTCAATACATCCAGTTTACATACAAACTGTACATCAATCACAGACATCTCTTAAAAATAATTTGGCTGTCTTCCAGAGTTCAGCAGGATCTGATCTTTAAGATACTTTCATGAGCAGGAATGATGGTGTGTAGTTGATAGTAACAACCAGCATACCTTTTCATATAAATACACTGATTAAAAACTGCTCACAGCTAAATTCAGGATTTTGTTCCCAAAATGAGACATTGGTCTTATCTCAGATGTTGGACGCTGATGAATTTGAAAAGTCATTTAATTTTGTTAATTTTTTGTTAATTATAAGATTCCATCCATCTTCATCCGTTTATCCTGCGTACAGGGTCGCGGGTGGAGATTCATTTTAAAATGGTCAAACAAAACTAGATGTGTGAAGACGTCCCCTTTGGCTCTGGCAAACTTGTTGGGATGATTTTCTATCCTTCTATAATCCAAACTATTACCAGGATATTTTTGAAAACAATCTTGATCAGATGAATCAATAATTGAACTAATTGTTGCCCCATTTAAAAGATGGAGAAGCACTTCTAAAAATGAAAGTTACTGCTGCATCCGTACTTTTGATCCAAGTCTGAAATAAGAATAATACCAACAGGAAATCCAGCTAACCTTTCTCAACACATGTCTTGATATTTAACACGATTTTTATTTTTGTATCATGACATGAATGACCAACTTATTAATTTGCCGAATTAACCTCTTGTGTACCGTGAACAGGGATGTACTGGGACTGAAATTCATCCCGGGACTTTTATGTGAGCGCCGTGTGGAGGCGCAGCGCAAGATTTTTGCAGTTATTTTAATATATAGTGTTGTACTGGTAACACTCTATTTCATTTTGACTTTTTATGACACCTGCCTCTTAAGTTTTTACAAGCAAGGCACCACTGAGTCAGTCAGAACGCTAAAATAGTTAAATATAATTAAAAACTACAATGCCATAAAATAGTGCAGTGTGTATGTGTGTGCAGAAAAATCAAAGCCCTCAGCTTTAGCTCTGAATAGGCCTCTCCCTGGCTCAGCTTCCGCTGTGCTGGACCCTGAATCTGCTTGTACTGATTGTGCAGCTACATATGCATATATATATATAAATACATATATAAATAATCTCAGGTTGTAATAAATGCATTACTTATCAGAGTCCTTTTCAGAGAAATTTTGATCATTAAACACTTCAGTTCCTGCATTCTGGTGAAAGTTTCTGCACCAATTTATGGTGGGGAAACACAAAATTCAGGTAACACATGACGTTTCAAATTATATGAATATAACAGAATCTATGTCAGTGCAGCTCTCAGTCATTCTGTGTTACTTTCAGATCTGTTTCTCCTGTAGATCAACTTTTCTCGTGTAATATCATCCCTGCTGAGGCAACACATATGCAGGCATGATTTAGTCTTCCCTCCTCTTTTTCATGTTCAAAGGGAGAGAACGGAAAAGTTGTTAAAGTTACTGATTGGTGCTGCACGTCTTTGGGTCATTTTATAATCAGTAGCTTGTTGTTGTTTTTTTCAGCTTAAGTTACTTTTTTTGGAAAATGCAAATTTTTTCTTCTAAATTTTCCATTCCATTACATATTTTCTTACTGTTCAAATAAACCTGTCTGAAGGTATTTTCATTTTTTATTTAACTGCAAGCTATATTTCAAATACTCTGTATCCGAAAAAAATACATTTTTGTTCAACAAGCGGGCATCAGTGCTCACTCAGCATGAAAGGGTTCAACAATCTGCTACATACCATCCTCATTGATTTGAGATGGCTCTCTGTTTACAGCATGATGAATTATAAGAGGTTGATGCACTCAATCATCAGGGTTCAGGGGGGGGCATTGGAATTGGGCCTATGTGTAGCATTTTGATTGGTTGTGTTTGGAAAAGGAAGGCAAGTCATTTCCTGTTATATTTTTGTGTTTTAGGTAGGAAATTGTGTGTAGTGTTTTGAAAAAAGTGTTTTATGCAATTGAAAACTGAGCGAAAGGCTGAGAAATAGCTAATGGTTTTGGGAATTTGAGTGAGGTTTTGAGAGGTTTCAAAAATCATTTGACATGTAAAGATTTTTTAAAAACTGTCATTTTTAGCAATAAAAGTAAAAACTATACTTTTGGTTTATAAATGTTTATGGTTTCCTTTTCTTGTATGCTGCTGTATACAACACTGTGCTACTGTTACAACTGGAATGTTTTGCCAAATAAATATTTGCTTCAACATTACATTTACTGTGTACTTCAGCATCTCTTAGCAGATTATTTTCAATCAATCATTTTGCATTTTGTGTGAGCAGTTTGGAGAAGTGTGTATAGAGTTTTGAAAAAAAGGAGATTTTGAAATCTTGTGTGAGCAATTGTAAAAAACTGTAAAACAAATAGCACCACCTGCTGACTCATTAGAGATCTGACTACAAGGAACTTTCCCTGTAGGCCTTTTGATTATTGTTCAGGTAGTAAAACCAACAGATAGAAACAAGAATAGTACTCTACAGATAAGCCTTTATATTACAGTTTGAGTATTTATTATTATTATTTTTAATATTATAGGGGCACATTATTCTTGCCAGTACGTTTGAAATAAAGTTTATGATACCACAAAAATGTTTACAGAGATTTACAGCTGAAATGTACGGATCCCTGGAAAGGTCACAATATTTGACGGTTTACAGAATGGTGTGCAACACCTGCTGACATTCAGGAAGTGCCATAAAAGTCAATTACAAATAATGGCGCCTATTTTAAAACCTTTCCCTTTTAAATTAGTATCTAGTTTTACGTTTGTTGTGGGTTGTAATCACTTGTTTTTGGTAATGAATGTTTGGCCTGTTTCAAATTAAGCTAAAGGTCAAGCAGGGGGGCAGAGGTGAGACAAGCTACTGTAATCACAGCAGATTATAGGATATTTGGTATTGTGGAGCGTAAGAAACAAAAATCAAAAAGTTGAGGAACTTAAAGCTTCAGCTGCTGTCACGCAAGTCGAGGACAGGGGAAATTAAATTTAACTTTCCTTACCTTGCTGGAGACTGCGTTGAATTTTACTGACCTTATACAATTAACTGTGCTGCAAGAATATGTCGAAAACATAACTTCTAACAGGTAGATACCCCTGTGAGAAATCGGGGCATGTCTTTAAAAGAAAACCTTCAAGTTGTGTGTGGATGGAGTCTCGTTATGTTTGTTGCAGTGGCTAGTAGGCTATCCCTTATTTCTGTTACGGTATTCTTATACTGTTAAAACCGCACAGCCTAACAGAAAGAACATTGTTTAAAACACGTTTATATGTTTTATAGTGTTATTTCTTTATTTTACTTGGTGATGGTGCATTAAACAAGTGCTGTTTGGGAAATTTAAAAAAAAGAGAAGTGCACAAGTTTTGTGTGGTCGTTTAAAGGCCGTCACACTAAGGCTTTAATACAAACTATTAGAATTATAGTCAACACTGTAGTTTGTGTGCACATTTACACTGGGGACAATTCCACATCACTTTTTGAAATGGCTGAAATGTCCCCATCATCTTTTGAAAGTATAATTTGTCAAAAAAAAGTTCTTGACATGTAAAATAACAAATAGAAATGGTTTGAGAAAGACTTGTTTGCACAGTATGAAAACATGCTATGCAATGTAAATATAGAAGAAACAAATGTGCATTGTCCCAAGAATGTAACTTCAACTAAAAAACAAGCTACTAGATACCACATTTAAAATTACAGTATATTGCATTATATTGTTATATTTTGAATTGTCACCTGCCAAGTGAATTTTCTGTTTCTCTTTATACAGCTGAAATAAAGACAGAGAAATTTCATCCAGAATGCAGAAAAGTAAGTGTTTAATGCTCTAAATCTTCTGGGGGAGGGGCCCTAAAACACCCAACTCAGATATTTCAGCATTGAATATTTCTGCAAAATAGCATTAAAATATCTTCTCGTCTTGTTTTCATGAACCAAACATTGTGCATCGACATGTCTTGTGAGCTAAGCGTATTAAAACAGAAGAGTAAATGAATAACACTGAGAAGAGGAAAAGAGAATGACGTCCTTAACTCCCAGCATGCATTGCGTCACAAAGTGAGCGCAGGAGAAGCGTTGTGTTTAGATTTAACTACAGTTAACAAGTGCAAAGTTTAGACTAAATGTATCAGCACAGATGTGTTTGTCCACGACATGAGTCCGCTGTGTGTTTTTATTTAGTGGCATCAACTTTACACCAGAGGTGAGTTTCATGTCCCCGCGGAAGTGATGGTCTGCTCGCGCTGCATCAAAGTAGATCACTCTGATTTCTCTTCAGATCGTATAAATCTTTCGCCTTTTACTAAAGATTTCCGTGGAGAGGATCAATAAGAGTTATACTCAATTTTTTAATGCCCTGCTTTATTGCGGGGCTTCCTACTCTGTATAAAAACAAATTTAATGGGTGCATTAAAAAAAGGTTTCACCTACAGCAAGTTAAATATTTAACAATCGAGTCCGTACACAAAATATGACCACTCAGTATTATTTTAAGTCTCTGGTTCTTCTTTGCAACACAAAGATAATAACTTCAGTCAGGGGTCAAAGGGGTTTTCCGACTGTCAGTAAAACATTTTGTGGTGAACTTTATTAAAACGTTGGCATAAACATCATGCAACATACACAACAGGACACAAACAACATTTTGTCTGCACAACACGAACCGGATTAATGGACATGTAAATATCTGCCACAATGTTCTTTCTCTGCAAATAGTTGTATTATTTTCTCTATTCTCTTATTGTTCTTATATAACTTGCATTTGTTAATTCCGCATTTATATATTGTAGTGTATAACATTTATTTAGGTCACCTGTCAGTTTGTCTATGTGTA